AACACAAAAGAAACTGATTACTCTACAAAATGTGTTAAAAAAACGTAGCCTACAGAAGCGGAATTTATTAACAGTAGAGGAAAGCGACATATTGCAATATTTAAACGAAGGTACAAGGGAATTAATAAAGCATGAAATAAGAAAGCGGAAAAATTTGCCTATCTAGTGTATCAATCTAGCAATTTGCATTATCCTCTAATAGCACATGATATCATTCGAATATTCTACACTCGTACTGAAAGTACTGGTCATACGTACTATTGCCTAATACACTAGAGAACATTCACATCTTGATGATATATCATTTCTCGTATATTCTTAAGCTCATCTTCAGAATATCCTAGCAGCATATGATATCATCCGAATATTCTGTATTTATACTGAATGTACTGTGAATATATACTAACCGAATACTAAGATTATTCGTATAAAATCTATGTATTCCAAGTAGCAAGATGATGTCATTGACGATGATTTAAGATCATTTTTTGTCAGTGTACTAAAAAACAACGTAAAATAAACGTAACATTTGTCACGAAATATTATCATAAATATATTGTCATTTAATCGTCATTTTTAAGTCATTTTTAATGAATAAATAATGAAATAACATTACTAATTACTATCTTTTTAATTAACCATAATATATAAATAAGAAAAATATTTCCCATATTTAATACAATTATTGATAAATTCATAAACAAATAAACAAAATATATTCAACAATTTATAAACAATTTTCATAATAAATGACTCTCATTAAACATAATATAGGTTCACGGATTTATATATAATTAACTTATCCACAAGAATTACATATGCACTCGAGATTTTAAAATTAAGATTATTTATATGACAATAGAGTAACATTCAGATCTATCATATTTTATATCAAAATTTTATGTTCACTTATATCATCATATCAGTTGCAGGTTTCATCCCATTATAAAAATTAAGCAACAGGATCGAGCAGGATCCCGAATAGGATGGGTGACCGTTTTAAAAACATGCAATGATACAAGATAAATAATGTTTCATTACTTTCTCTCAGTTTTTTTTATTTTTTTTTTCACTTATTTTCCGTAAAAAGTGTCACGTATATTATAAATTTTCACGATCTATATGGCTGTCTGGGATACTCTTACGTATGTCCTACATGATATACTGTTTTTAAACCATTTTCATCCTGTGGCCATACTGCGGGATATTCTCCAGTACATACTAGGGATTAGGTTAGTGAGCGGTAGTAACAATTTAAGTACATTCCACAGTATATCACAGTACGTATTTTGAATGTTCGGAGAATATCTCGAATATACTTGTATAATATCCCGTGAAACGTTCTCAGAATAGATGAGTGCTATTAGGATCATTGCATTATTACTCACCAAAAGCATATAAATATATTCAGCATAAATTTTATAATGTTATCACATCCAAAAACGTTATCACAATAGTATCGTTTATTAGATGGAGAGCCTAATATTAACAATGAGATTATAGATACATCAGTTACAAAAACTATTAAATCACGCGTACGCTAAATCCGTTTTATATAAATTGATAGGTGCATTGATATTTGATGAGATGGCAATACGACAGCATATCGATTATTATAAAGATAAATTCGTAAGATATAGATTATGATACTTGTGGAATGCGATACAACAAAAATTGCAAAAGAAGCATTAGTTTTTTGTGTTATGTGTATAAACCAAGCCTGAAAATTACCTATTGCTTACTATCTAGTAAATGATATAACTACAAAACAAAACTAATGTATGTATATATGTGTGTACCATTGAATTGTTGACGTATTATTCTAAACACGTTATTTGCGATAAATATCATCACATGTCTTTGTGGTCGAAAGGATAAGATGCCTGCCCGATAAGCAGGAGATTCAGGTTGCTGGCTAAGGTGATATTTTTCGCAAAATAATTGCGGATTTTTACAATTTTTCGTGGTCGGATTCGTTGTGACACATGCCTTCCTTTCTTATCCTCTTTTTATAAAACTAAGATCACCAAGTATAATTATAAAGATAATAAATTAGAGGCTTTGCCTATATATTATAGATTTTCAGTACTTGCAGTGAATATCGGAACGCAGCCTTAATTGAAATACATTTAATACAAATTTTCTTGTTACTGTAGTAACAACTTTATTGTATATACTTCTTTTTAAAATATATGGCTATCTTTTGTTAAAAGGAAAATTCCAATATTTTGAAGCCATTTTTTAAATAGTTTTTTTTAAGTAAAAATCTAAAATATTAAAAATTTCGTTTTTACCATAATCTAAAATTACATTAACCACTATTTATGTTTTATGAAACATTTATATATTTATTATAAATGTAAAACTTACTTAAATAGACTAACACCATCTTTTTTTATTACGACACTTTTTAATGCAACAAGATACTGGCATTTTTACAAAAATTTAATGGCCATACACACACTGACGCTATAAAATTCAAACAAGTGTTGTACCCCGGATGGACTACGAGGACGGGATAGTCGTCGTTAATATTCGGGATAGTCGAGTTCGCCAAGCCTAAGGAGTTGGAACTCCGAGCAGGATCAAAGGAATGTAGGGGTCCTCTTGAAATCACTAACACACACTTTTACTTTGATTGATTTATTTTAACAAGAGCACAAATACTTGATATTATAACGGTTATATTATAACGGTTATTTTACACACACGATTAAGCGACGATAAGCGTCGTCGAGCGGCTCGGCGTGTCTCGCGTTACTCTGGCGGCTGACGACCGAGTGTGACACCTGAGATGCTGATAATACGGCCCGCGTGAACTTCGCGACGGGATTCGGTAATATCTCGCGCGACTTTTATAATTTCGATTCCGAACGACTTATACTTTTAACTTCTCTCGACTCCGCCTTGTGTAGCCGATTATATATAGATTGGTCGATGCCCGATCAGCATTTTGATCGGTTGCGTCGATTGATCGTGTGATATTGATTGATCAATATCACGCTCGGTTCGATCAGCAATTTGAGGAATTTGCTAATAGGCTTTTCGTAATATTCTCGCGCGATGCGTTTCTGCAATCTTTCAAAAGATTGATCGCAATTTTGATGATCATGCATTTGTGTCTTTCGAAAGACTTTTTCCGAGATTCATGCGGATTACTTTTATTGCTATGCGGACTATTTTTATTATTAGTTGTAGGTCTACCTACAACAAATAATAACAAAGTATCACATCATATACACAGGACTGCCATCATTTTCTCGCATACAACCGGAAACCGCATGTGACACAAGTCCAAAGTCCTAGTTAACAATCTAGTTGGGTGCATTCGTTTAGGCAGTTACTATCGCAGATATCGTTTGTTTACTTCGTCTGCAAAAGTGACTGCAGCGAATTACAGCGCAGTTCGTTGTTCGTTTACGCATGTAGCTCACCTGTGCAGCTATCTCGGAGCGTTCCTTTATTCACTCCGAGTGCTCATGCTATAATGTAATGGAAGTGTACTGCGGCTATCGTTCCGTTTTAGTTTCGTGCACTTTCTAACTGCTTCAAGATTATAAAATGGAATGCAGTTGCAGTATGTTTTCAAACTCCAACTGAAAATGGCATATGTAATATTAAAAAAATAATAATTTATTATATATATTAAATATAATATATATATATATATATATATATATATATATATATATAATAATAATAAATAAAT